TATGGTCTTCCAGATCGCTAAAGATTCAGCATCCTCTCATCACCTCCAGCGAAGTGCTTGTACAATCTCTAAAGGCTTGCCTTGAAAAAGCCTTGTATCCATGTGTGTCTTTGATTTTGCTGACAGCCTGCCTTGTGTCTCCAGTTGCTACCAATAAGACTATAACAATTATTTGTTTTACTTTAATTTGTTGTAAATGACAGATTTCTTGGACGTGTGTTAATCTAAAGTCTGACTCACTGCAGCTGACTTTACTTGACTTACTATTCTAAAAACATTCAATGGGATGTACAGTAATACAGCACAATTTGCTGCTGAATTTACAACTCACCAGCATATGAATGGACATGTGAGTCTTCCTTGACAATTGATTAACTTTTTATAGTTTATAGTCCAAGCGAGTGTGTTGAGTCATGAACATGAAATCAAACAATAATGACAAAAATATTCAATTATCATTCAAAGGTGGATTCCGCCCATGCTTACCCTAGTTGCCATGGTTACGCATAACTGAAACGATATTGAATGTTGTTAAATATTAATTTGACACTTAGTAGATAATTTTATGTTTGTGAAAAAGTAAATTAATTGGGTAACGTTAGGTTTGCCTATACAATTTTGCCCAATACTTTTGAATCACCCCTCGTATATATGAAATTCTTGAAATAATTTTGATAGGAAATGGTATAAGCTCAAGATGTCACAAACATTGAAACAATTTCTTGGAAGGGTTCCTTGATCTGATTCTGCCTTTGATTATGTGAAGCTAAACGTATGGAAGAGCGGCGCGGAGTAAGACGGAATTTAGAAAAAGAAACTCGGCATTGTTTTCATGGATATTGTGGTGCAAATTTCAGAGAAAATGTAAACATAACCACGAAGTTAAAAACAACATAATTGTATACAGTTGTGTTGCTTAGACCACAACATTTGTTGTTATGGACTTTTAGATTGAAAATAGAAACCGATTGTCAAAGCTTTTGATTGAAAAAGCATGATTGATTTCTTAATTTTATCCCTTGGTAATGAAAGGGTTAATATCTAATTTTGCATTCAGTGAAAATTCAAATGGAGGTTAGATTCTTAAAGCTGACAATCTCAGCTTTCCAACGGTTTATCAGAACCTTGGTACAGAAGAGGTAATTTAAATATCACTAGGGAGCGCACTTACAGGCCTCATAGACTTCTACAAAGTTCCGACAACTCTTTTCCGACCTCGCGAACTATTTTCCTTCCACCCATACCACAATTCTCACATCGCAAGTATATATTCTTCATTCGCAAACACAAGTTCCTCTCTCATGAACATAGTTCTCCACTCGTGCACCGAATTCTCAAATCGCGAACCACATGTAGCTTTGTGGTTCGCGATGTCGAACTCCGTTCGCGAGTGGAGTTTGGTATAAAGAATCGATATTCGCGTTGTGAGAACCGTGGTTCTGGTGGAAGGAACGTAGTTCGCGAGGTCGGTGGAAGTCAGACTAATAGAGGGTCTATTTTGCATAGTACATGCAACTTTCAACAGTGACATCTTTAAATGGACAAAGGAAGAATGTTTAATTTATATTACAGATGTATATTTCATTTGAGTGGTATACAATAATAATTTCTAACTATTATTTACATTTAGAGTTATAAATGAATATTGTACTTTTGTATAAATTGTTTGGTACATCCTTGATAAATGGATTAACTATATAATACACAGTAAATCACTTAAGGTATACATGATATCCAAAACCTATAATAAGTAGAGTACATTCAGTTATATTTTATGCACTGGGGTTTGCTCAACCAGACTTCGTCATGAAATATTGTATTCCAGGTTATATTGTAAACATTTCTGATGTTCATAAGAACAATGCAACACTAGGCTATACAATAGATGTGCTGATTGAGAACAATTACTCCACTTATTTAAATCCCAAATGGCCATGTTCTCTTGCCTGTTTAAATACAACATGTGTAAGTGATTACATTACTGATTTGATGAAGTTACTACCCATGACAGGACTTTTCATTATACAGAAAAATAAAGATAACTTTTTTGTTTCATTTGCCAGGGTTGTTAAATAATAATATTAAATTGAAATTCAGAATTATTCGTATTACGTTCAAGACACTAGAATGGCATGTCTAGTCTTAACATGTGGCATAAACTTCAGGAGAATATGCATATAGGAATTATAATTGTAATGAGTACCAGTTCTTGCCCATGTACAATGTACCAGGTCGTTCAATAAGTTCACCGAAAAATGCTATCATTTCAAAGATTTTTGATATTTTCTCATGAAATTTGCACACAATGAATAAAAAATACTTTCTGATTGATTATTAAAATATCAGCATCTCTTATTTAATTGGTCAAAAATAAGGGTTACTATGGTAACTTGACTTTTGGGTAGGCGGGGCACTTTTTATGTCACATTATTCATCAGAAAAACAACAGAATAGTAGGCAGTTTATGAGTATATCACATGAATTTCTTCTCCGCTTTCTACTTGTAAATGATATTACTTAATGTAATAATTACAACTATTGTCCCATAAGGTTTCAGAAATATTCTCCCTAATGTTTAATGCACAGTCGCTTGCATTCAACCCATTGATGATACAGTGCTCTGAAGCCATCTGGAAAACTTGTTTAAAAGGCAATCTTGACTGCAGTCGAAAGTTGTTTCATTGTTCCATAAACTGCACCTCTTAGCTGATCCTTCATCCTAGTGAAAACAGTAAAATCAAGGATTGTCTCATTTGGAGATTATGTAACTTGGGGCAGCTTTGCCATCTATTTTGCCAATTATTTGTGATGGTTCCCTGCACAATATTAGCAGTGTGATCGGCTGCATTATCCCGATGGAAAAATTTAAAGTTTGGCTGGATGGGTAAGTTTTAATCAACTTTTTATAGCATTACTCTTTGTTGATTGTCTGGTCCACTGGTACAGCATTGACTAGCACAATTTCAGAAATGTTCCTGATAACAATGAACATCAATTTTCCCTCAGAACATTTGTAATTTAAATAAGAACAAATAAAAAATAGGGATCCTTCATTTGCACATATGGATAGATATCTGTAATGGTAAAATGTGTGGCGTAAAAGTGCCTCCCCTACACAAAAGTCAAGTTACCATAGTAACCCTTATTTTTGACCAATCAAATTTGAGATGCTTATATCTTAAGAATCAATCAGAAAGTATTTTTTATTCATTGTGTGAAAATTTCATGAGAAAATATCAAAAATCTTTGAAATGAGAGCATTTTTCCGTGAACTTATTGAACGACCTGGTATAATAATTTAAGATGCGTGCATTTAAAACTTCACATTCAAATTAATGAAAATATACAACTTATATTCATTTTTCATTGCACAATAACCAAATCATATAATCAAAATTAACATTTATTAGAATTATGACGTCATTCTCTTACTACTTTTATCATGAGATGAGCTATAAAAAGCTAAGTCGCTTCTGATGTACATATTTACATTCAAAACAAAAAATATAAAAAATCTACATATAATATTTTATGCCTACATACGCCTTTGTTTAATCAATGTATCCTCAATGAAATACCATTTAGGGGAGGCATCAAAAGATCAATGTCTGATAGAAAACTAAATAAATCTAGTTTGGGGGGAGGGGGTCAAAGCTATTTCAGTTTGCTATCCGACAAATTTCAACATTTGAATTTTTGGGAATTTCGACTCAAAATGCCTTGGAATGGTTTGAAAATAAAGACTACCAGATGCCTTCTTCACAAATATGCATGCAACGTGGAATATTATGCCTATTGTTGTTGGCACATGTTTTAGGAATCATGAACAAGTTATAGTTCTATCCCCATAAAAGTCCAAATTGAGTCGCAAAAACATGTGAAAGTCCGCGATCAACTTTCATTGTATTTAGTTTTGAGGGGGAGGGGGGGGGGGGGGTCCAACTCAAAACTAGATTTATTTAGTTTCCTATCTGACATTGAACTTTTGATGCCTCCCCTTAATGTCTGTCATATTATATACAGGGTGACAAAAAATGCCACCCACATAATGTTGCAGAACTTTTTTGACTGCATGATATCTGGCTTGTTCTTTAGCGCATTATAACTAGACTCCATGGATAAACTCCATAAGGAGATTCAGATGACTGGCCCATGTAGATGCACTTTTATGAGGTTACGATATGTGCGCTTAAGAGGCAGGCACACCTGGATTCTACGGACAAAGTTATTGACAACCCCGACACATAAATGACCACATAAATGACCCTGATCTTTCAGGTGATCTCTATTGTCATGTGTACTAAGGTTTGGTGGTTTGTTTCATATACATGATCCTTCAAGTTCCCTCAGAGATAAAAATCTGGAGGATTCATGTCAGATGAATGTGGTCCATAACGTTAACCGTACAATCCAGAAGTGTGCCCGTAAAGGAATGGACATCATTTACAGCACATCTTATTCAAATGTGCCTAACAACAATTCAGATATTATGCAGACAAAAATCTTATGCAACATTATGTAGGTGGCATATTTTGTGTCACTCTGTATAACATCAGCTTATGTTACATCAGCTGATATGGCATCAACTATTATTGCATTACGGCATCAGCTAATATGGCATCAGCTAATGCAACATCAGCAAATGGAATGCCACCAGACTTTATACATGTATTTATATCACCAGGTTAATTAAATCTACTGTTCTCTATGTGCACAGTAGCTATTCTAGTATCCAAATGACTAAAACATTCAGATCAAATGGCACCTTCAAATGTAGTTTCCTTGCACAGTGTAAACATTGAATTCATTTGTTCAGAATGTGACAGCACCGAATGCAAGGAATCATCACAGAATGTAATGAAACAATGTTGTGAAATATAGCATCACCTTATTACCATTCAATATCACCTAGTCTAATGTAAGATTGCTCAAAGTAATATAACCTCACAACATGATACAGCTACTCAAATCTTATTATGTTCTAGTGCCACTTTATAGTTCTATGGTGAGAAGTACGATCCATATTCTTGCCTGTGTTTCATCAACAATATTTTGGCTTTTTCAGCTGTGTGCTGTTTTACGTGTGCCTTCATTTTAATTTCTGATCCACATCTAAATGGGCATTCAACACATTGATAGAGTCTATTACGTCGTCGTCCAGTTTTTTTCTTTGTATTTTCTGATTTTGATGCTTTTATTTCACCAACTTTCGATGGTACCCTTGGTGGGGTCTTTGCTGGATATGATCTCCGAGCTTTCTCTGCATTAAATGGTATGGGGCTACTAGGTGGACTAGGGCTTGGGGAACGGGGACAGATAATCTGAGCCTCAGAGGGTGGTACTGCAGCGGCCATCTTCTTTGGGGATTCTTGCTGTTGCATGATGGGAGATGGGGCCTTCCTTGCAAGTGGAACACGTCCTTCTGATCTGTCTATCGTATCAATGATAAGATCTCCTACCTCATCAAAAACAAGTGGAACCATGTCTGGATCTTTGTTGTCAGACACAAGTTCAGAATCAACAGAAATGCCATCTATTGTGGAACTGATGGCAGTTGACATTTCCGACAGGTAACTGGTTTCTGATTTTGTCGCCAACTTTTCAAAAAGTTCTTTTCGTGTTTTCTGTGATTCAAGCCAGCCTCTGATGTTTTCAGGCTCTGTGTACGGGATGTCAACCCCAAGTTTACGCTTTTTCTTTGATGGGGAATCTTCATTTTCAAGTTTAGCTGGTTCAAGTTCTACAGGATCATCAAGTTCTATTTTTGCGTCAATGTCAATCTTAACACTGTGGACATTTTTATGTGTTTTGGTTACAGATTTATCAGGGGGAGATGTTTCGGGAGACATACATTCAATCACCTCAAATGCGCTCCTTCGCGCAGGTGATTTATTATTTTCTGCTCTAGATGAAGATTTTTGAGGACCTCGATCGACAGGTTTAGAGGTTGTTGCTGTTGGTCGTTTCTGTTTCACTTCCTTTTGTGGGGCAGTTTTATTAACAGAAAGGCTAGGGGGCTTTTCCACTTCCTGTCCTTCCTCCTCCCAATTTTTCACTTTGTCTTGTAGCTTCTCCTCAAAGAAAGTGAGAAGACGGCTGATCTTCAAAATCTTGGCTGCATTATAAAGGCTCTTGAGTTCATTGTCCTTCATCTCTATGATCCCAGTATACATCAGCTGCACAACCTTCTTGATGGTATCAGTCTCAATATCAACCTTAAACAACAGAGTATGAAAATAAAGTTATGATTGTTCCAATTTTATTATTGTTTCAAGTATAAACTTACTTTTTAGATTGTCACATTAAAAGCTTCTACCGAAATACTTCATTCCCTTAAAACATATTGCCAATTTTGAAATAAAAAAAGCGTACACTACATCGTTCACACAGCTAAAGAACCCTACTGGAGATGATCGCCAAGTATTCAACTACACAAATAAACAATCAACTCATGCCATCTATATGAAGCTTATGTATGTATCTTCAGATTATTTCTTCAAAAAGTTTGCATCACATATCTCAAATGATGGTACATCAATTTTGAATTTATTTTTCCACTTAAGCACATTTGAAGAGTAGTTTAATTTTGAGCAAAAAACAATTCACATTTTTGGTGAAAGCTGGGTCAAAATATTGAAAAAAGATGATGATTGCAGATAATCAAGGCTTAATTATGAGACAATTTGATTGACTTAATCATTGCAATCAGTTTTTGTAGAATGGCCTTACAGGTTCATTTGTTTTAGTTGTCAAAAATCCAACTGTCTGAAGTCTGCTTCGCTCTCATATAGGTGGATCTTGTTTCTGGATTTTATTGGAAAAAAGTTGCACAACAAACGACAAGTGTACACGGGTATAAATCTAATAATGATATGAACTTACCTGTACAAAGGGGTCTCCTTGCAGAAGCATAACTTGGAGATATGGACTGTATGCAGCCACCACTACTGAATGGACAGATATACCATTGGCCTCACTTGAACCACTTGATGATGAACTGATCATAGCATCACAGAACAGTCCATCTTGGAAGAAGGTCCTCAGTGATGTTGTCAGCGTTTGAGAATGAGATGGCAACCTGTAATAAAATAATTTTAGTATATATTGAGTAGAAATTAGAAAATGCATTCTAGATGAGTCAACATTTTCAAGAGAAATCCATTTTACTATATTGAATTTTACTTCACAGGCAGTGATATAGTCCATAAAAGGCAGAGATATTACACAAAAGATAATGATATTTCACAAAGGCCATCAATATTTCATAAAGAGTAGTGATATTTCACAAAAGGCAGTTATATAACATAAAGGGCAGTGATATTTCATAAAGGTCAATGATATTCCACAAAAGGTTGTAATATTTCACAAAGGGTAATGATATTTCACAAAAGGCATTGATATTCATAAAAGGCAGTAATATTTCACAAAGAACAGTGATATTTCACAAAAGGCACTATAATAAAAAAGGCTCTTTATTTATAAAATCTCTGATATGCTTTAACCTGCTATTTCATTATCCCTTGTTAAGTGGATGTAATTGGAAATAGACATATACAGGGTGGTCCAAAAAGGTGAACCCCTGCAACAAGCAATATCTCAGTTATTACCCCCCTTAATTTTAATGGGATAATATTCTAACATGTTTTAGTAGGTCTAAAGTTTTTGTGGGTGCCATTCAGTCTTGAATCTTTCAGAAGTAACATGGCATCAATAGACACGCCTGATTAATTGATGATATGTTCCATTTCCACAATTTTGGATTACAGCTGCAACTCAAATGTTTGAGTTGTTCACAGTTAAAGGCATCATAGAAATTAACCAGAACAACAGCAACGCCAAAGCGTAGCGAATCCCATCGAACAGAAACTACCCAAAATTTCATGAGACAGTATGCAATCCTATGAGTATTCACATATCAAATGTGAACAAAATCACTCTATTACTTTTTGAGTTATAATAAAAAATGTAAAATAACACACACAAAAATGGTGGCCATTTTTCAAAATGGCCGACTGCTCCCCAAAGTTTTATTAGACAATGTGCCATGCTTAAAGTATTCACATTTCAAATATGAACAAAATCCCTCCAGTTATAGTAATAAATGTTAAAATAACAGCCATTTTTAAAAATGGCCATCTTCTTCGCGAAGTGTCATGAGACAGTGTCGTGGCTCATGAGTATATATATCAAATATGAACAAAATCGCTCCACTACTTTTCAAGTTATAGTAAAAAAACATAAAAATGGTCAAAATGGCCGCCTTCTACCCAAAGTGTCATTAGAAAGTGTGCCATGCTTATAGTATTCACATATAAAATATGAACAAAATAGCTCTACTACTTTTTAAGTTATAGTAAAAAATGTAAACACACCTACTATCAAAAATGTCATTAGACATTGTGCCTTGGTTTAAAGTATTCACAAACCAAATATGGACAGTGAGCGGCCATTTTGAAAATCGGTTCTCGAGCAGAACTTCTACCCCCATAAGGTATATGTGTACAAAATATGAATAAAATCGGGCCAATGGTATTTGAGTTATTCCCAGGACGGACGGACGGACGGACGGACAGACAGACGGACGGAGGCGTTCCCTATATCCCTCTGAACTTTGTTCGATGGGATAATAAATGCCTATCAGTTATTGGGTAAAATAATGATAAGCCTTTCACATATGTATTAACAAAATCAAAAATATTTTGAAAAAATAAAGTCTGTACATGCAAAGAATTCATAATTGAAAGAACTTTATCATCTGATGTCTGATATACAGGGTGATCCAGAAGTAACGTCAAAGACATTGTAATTTCAAAAGTATTCATCAGATCTTCATGAAATTTGGTATACATGTACCCACAACATTTCTGAGTTACCATCTCAAAGATTGGAATTCAATCATTTCATTGGTTGAAATTATGGTTGCTATAGTAACCTGATATCGCGTAACCCGGGGCAAATTGAAGAGAAACCATAACGTTTTTGTGAATTTCTCTAATTTAAAAAATCAGTAACATTTGAAAATGTTCATTGTTTGTTTTCTATGATTTTTATATTTGTTGCCATGGTAACAAATATGTAATAGTTGTGATGTCACAATAGGCATTCATAAAAAGCTTTCAATTTCTTTGAATTGCTTCCATCATCCATGACAAATACTAACATGACCAAGGACACTAACCCACCCAATTCAAGATGGCGCCAAGTCAGAGTAAAATAGAGCAAAGAACAAACATTAAGTTCTGTGTAAAGTTGGGGAAAGGTGTAAAAGAGACTATAAGACAGATAAAGAAGGCATATGGTAAAGCTGCCATTGCTGAGAGAAACATTTACAGGTGGTTTAACAAGTATTCCAGTGGATATGATGAAGTGGTAGACAAGCAGCGAGGAGGCAGGCCAGTGTCGTCATTCGATGATCAAACCATCAAAGCAATTGAAGCTGATGTTATGGACAATAGGCAAATTTCTATCAGAGAATTGGCTGAAAAACACGATCTGAGCTATGGGACTTTGCAACGGATACTGACAAAGAACTGTCTGTTAAAGAAGGTGTCTGCTAAATGGGTGCCGCATGACTTGACACAGGAGCAGAAAGACCGGCGTGTTAAGGCTTCAAGGGACTTTCTTGCAAAATATCGGAGAGATGGAGATGACTTTCTTAACAAGATCATTACGAGTGACGAATCATTGCTATCATTCTACATCCCAGAGACCACGCAACAAAGTTCATCGTGGAAACATGACAACTCCCCAACACCAACCAAGCCTAAAATAGTACCAGGAATTCCACAAAAGAAACAAATGGTTGTGACATTCTTTGACATTAGAGGAATGGTGTTAACCCATTTTGTTCCCATTGGCCAGAGAATTAATGCCGTTTACATTGCAAAGGTAAGATATCATTTGTTCTAATAATACATCATACTGTGAATTTTATTTTTAAATTAAAGTATTTAAATGTTGTTCACTGTCAATATAATTATAACTCCATGGCCATGATTCAAATCCAAATCCAATCAATGAAACAACTGGTTTAACAACCATTAAACATTTGTTTTTCAGGTTCTGAAGCGTGATCTTCAACGTTCCCTGAGGAAAAAGCGTCCCGGACATCTGCAGCAGTTTATCTTGCATTGGGACAATGCCCCTACGCACACTGCAATCCTGACCAGCAACACAGTCCAAACACTTGGATTTCAACAACTTGAACATGCCCCTTATTCACCTGATCTTGCCCCCAGTGACTTTTATTTGTATGGGGAACTAAAAAGAAACCTTAGTGGAAATAATTTTCAATCCTGTGAGGAATTGAAAAATGCCGTAGTACTAGCCCTACAAGGAATGAGTTCTAATGGATTTAATTCTGTGTTCAAGGAATGGGTATCCAGACATGAGAAATGTGTTGCAAATGGTGGCAATTATGTAGAATGAACTATTATTAGTAACTGTGCAATAGTATGATTTATATTGTTGTGAAATAAAATGTTGAGGATATAACAATTACAGATCTTGTTGATATTTTGAGATTACGCATTACACGTTAAGTAATTTGCCCCGGGTTACGCGATATCGGGTTACTATAGCAACCATAATTTCAACCAATGAAATGATTGAATTCCAATCTTTGAGATGGTAACTCAGAAATGTTGTGGGTACATGTATACCAAATTTCATGAAGATCTGATGAATACTTTTGAAATTACAACATCTTTGACGTTACTTCTGGATCACCCTGTACTTTGGAATCCCTCCCACCATTCTCTATTTTAAAGAAATGTAATTCCAATACCTTATTATCTAGGAATGGGCTTTTGAAAAGATTGAAAAATTTAAAATCATAACTTGAATTGGCTATTGGTGCTTCTTACTGTAGGACTAATAGAATATTCATTTTATTATGACTCACTGTGGAACTATGTGTTTATAGACTTGAAAAAATAAAATACTCAATAGTTGTTTTGCATTAAAGTAAAAAGTAGATGAATTGTCTGTGAATTATGCCTTAGGTGATGTTACTTGCATTAAGTACTGTTCAATTTACTTAAAAGATCATTCAGAAATGATCCTATTAATACTATTAGAATGAAATATAAGTTGACACAGAACATCAAAATGACAAAAATGAAATAATAACAATAAATATAGGTAGGTACCACTTAGAGATTCCTCCGAATGCAATTGTGTCTACAAGGAGATTTTGTAATTTTTGTAAATCATATATGGGTTTGTACCCACAAGAATGTCATCATGATGTCATTATCAGATGGCCAGGGAGTACATATGTTGCTTTCATGTTTGCTAATTCTGACTCGATGCAAGGGCATGTAATGAGTGCAGAGGTGTAGTTATTGAGTAAAATAATGATAAGCATGTATCAACAAAATCAAAAACATATTGAAAAAATAACGTCTTTACATGCAAAGAATTCATAATTGCTTTGCCATTGTACCCGTAGGGTTATCCAGCCAGTACACCAAGGTATTCAAGGTATTGATGGTATCCACTGCAACCAGTCATGATGACATCACAGGCAGTGTCAATGAATAGGTTGCATTTGCAGTACATATAATTATTCATGTTGCTAAAAGATGAATAATAAAAAGTAAAAAGTTGGTAGTCTTGTTCAGGCTAAATACCACGCCCGGTGATCGTACAAAATGGATGGAGGGGGGATTAGGCGATTTCTGCAAGAAAACTCAACAAATTTGGAAGATTTATTTTTTCAAGAGAAAATTTACAACTGAATTGCCAAATGAATAGGCGCAGTGCACGGCAAAATATGTTAGGTCATCTAGTTTTTTTTTTGACCTGATACCCTATTGGATGGAGGGGGGGGAGTGGATGGAGGGGGGATTTATATGTCTTTATGATGGAACAAATTTACAAGAACTGGTGTACTCAGTACCCCAGTAAGAAACTGTAAGGAAAAGGAGTCATAAAAATAAATTCAAGTAGCATGTCTTATCATGTCTTACATACACGTGATCCCCTCCATCCAATCCCCCCCTCCATCCAATATTAATTTATTTTGATTATTTTTTGTGTGAAACTTTTATAGAAATTCATATAATGTTCAGCCAAAAATATAAATCTGCAGTCCAGATAAGATAAATTTAAAAACAGCATTTGTGGAGGTGACCTTATCTGATTATAGGCATTTGACCTTTGACATTTTATTTTTAACCTAAATTCTTGTCTAAATATTTTCATCTAAAATTGTTGGATTAAATTCAAATTTTAGGGATGCTTTTTGGTATAAAAATTTTGACATCTGTGTGGTTCAAGGCGAACCTCTTCACAGATTGATTAAAGATTTCATTGGGTGTTTTCTTGATTTAAAAATCCATAACTGATAAGTCTCTGGACATGATGGGTAAATCTTAAAGGGGCAATTTTGCATTTTCTATTGCCAGATCTTTTCTTTAGAGTCCTATTATCGCATTTCCAGATAACTACTTGACATGACCCCCTGTTTCATAGAAAAAAATGCAGAAATGTAACTTAACCCCTAGAAGTGACCTTACCTAAAGGTAACTGTCATCTTGGTTTCTCCTGGAATTTCTATTCGTTGTAGCACCTGCAAGCACATAATAAAATGTTCTAAAAGCCAAGTGTTTTCTGTGAACCACTGTCTGCATAAGGTGGTATATATCTATTAATTATCTTATCTGACAAAATGAACAAATTGCATTAATATATATCTAAATTGTGAGTACATTATTGATTATATACAAGGAGTAATTTTACCAAACGTGATTAAACCATGGGCATCTATTGAAAGCCCATGTGTTTAAACATTTAACTGACCAAATTGTCATCCATCCTCCGATCACAGGGCTAGAGATTTTGCTCCTCTGAATCTTGGAGTCTTGTTGGGAGGATGATTTTTATTATTTCTTCCGATTTTGCAAATTAACAATCAATGATTTCATCTAACTCAACTACTACTCAACCACTGCTGGTTCTGCAAAATATTACGTCCTAATATTTTGTTGTTTTAATCTGATATGAAAAAATATTCTACTTAATGTTTACAGGTTTTTCAATACAACTTTTTTATTAGTAAGAAGTATTTGAAAGGGCCAGAAGTATTTGAATGGCCTCAATATTAAAATAATATTTATTGCCTCTTTGACAGATGCAACACCTTTCAGTATACTAGTGACATATCATCAGCATATTGAAATAATTAAATTTCACCTGCATCATATGATTAAAGGCAGAATCAGATCTATGGGGGTGGAAAAATTACAAGCAATGCGTACAATTGACCTAACAATCTATTCCTTACAATTTTAAATACAATATCCAGCAATTACGATTCACGCTATGTTATAAATTGGTGAAGTTATAATTATTACCACCTTGCCGGGCCAGTTCTAGGGGTTTTAGTGCTAGTTTAGAAGGCGTTCATTTTACTATATCGACCTGAGAAATGTGTGACGTCATAGTGGTGGTCCATATGGACCGGTCTAGAATATATTCTGGACCGGCAATTTTCCCCGGGAAATTAGATATCGTTCAATGCGTAAGATTTTCTTGCTGTGTCAGTCCTGGTCGTTAACGGTGGTAATAATACTAATAACGTCATTTCTGCGAGCAATATAGTGAAATATTGGACCTTGGGCCTTTGGCCCTCGGTCCAATATTTCACTATATTGCCCTTAGAAATGACGTTATTGTACTATTGATTCAAAGTCCAAAAATGAGTGAAAATTTGTAAATTCTCCCAAATAATAAGAATGGTAACCGTTCTTATGGAAAAATAATATGTTATTGTAAATATCTAGTTTTCCTGAAATAAAGTATGCACTTCGATGATTTTAAGAAAATAAACATGAAAAGGAATGACATGAGCCAGAAATATTCTAAGATTGAAACAATTTTTTGTTGGGCAGCTCGCTAGATCTGATTCTTTCTTAAATTAACATTAATTATTTATCATCATATATTTCACATCATTACACTGTCTTTTCTCATCGCACAGTTTTGGTGAGAAAAAATCAAAAGTAACTGAAGAAGTCAGCAAATGGCAAACAAAACACCTTACAATTGGTTACTGTAAGTTGCTTTAATTTGATGGCCGTTTTGATTTTGCGGATTTGATGGATTCAGATGACAACTGCCAAATTAAGTCTCCGACAATTTTTTTACTAAGTCCCTTGGGATTCCCTTGCATAATAAAAGCTTTTGAAAATACCCCACTAAAATGTCAATATATTCAATTTTGAAGGACGGGAGCCTTATTTGCATCTTTGTAAGAACCCTCTAATATCTGCATTTTACCAATGGGTATTAAGTCTGCCAAATTAAATAGCAGCCAAAATTTCAAAATTTGCCCAATCTGCCAAATTAAAGCAACTTACAGTATCATTTTCGGGTAACCTTCACTTCTGTTTGAAGTCAAATACTCTTGAAGAAAAGGGTATTGAAAATGGTGCCAGAGTATCAAACTCTATAACGTACCATTTCTTTTTTAAACTTTTTAATGGCACGATGAAAAATAGCATGTTCCCTCACACCAGACAAATCTTTTGATGACAACACCTATTTATTTCCCATAAACACCTGAACTTCAACATAAAGGGTGAATTGAAAAATATAATCATAATTCAAAGGCTGATATTATATATAGTAGTTGAAATTTCTGCCTACCTGAATTACTACTTTAGTAACATTTATTGAATGCTTTGAATGAGACAAGAATATTTAAAAAAACATAAAATCAATACTAAAATCTTTACAGCAGAACTTGTACTCATATATAGAGGCAATGTATGTGTGTATGAGTAAAAATATTTTCAATACCGATGGGTCAAATAAAGTTTGAGTAATTGTCTGGATGGAGAGTTCTTTATGTGGTCATCAATGAATCATTTTATAGTAACAATAAAATTGACAGTTTTAAAGTACTTGGTGGCTTGCTATCAATGGGGAGTTCATTCATATAGCTAGCTTCAAGAAATAGACTGAATAAGGGGTGCAATAGAAGACTCAGAAATAGAGATGAATCATCAAACAAAAATTACCTTAAATCATTTTGATTCATGAATTTCTTAGACATGGACAATATGAAATATAAAAAATAAGCAAACTAAACTTAACCAAAGTTAAATAACACATGGAATAAGTGCAAGTCTATAATTCAAAAGAAGAAAAGAGAACATGCAGAAATATATTTCCTTGTTTGTAGGAACACTTGGAATGTTTATTGCAGGAGTCTTATATAGTTTTAACACATATGCAGTTGGACTGAAAAGCACCTACAACTATACACAGTCAGAGGTAGAGTTTATTGCTGCAAGCGGAGACCTTGGTCAAAGTATTTTTCTTATACTAGTGGGCCTTATGTTTGACACATTTGGACAAAAAGTTGCATGTACGGTCGGTCTTATATTCACTGGTGGTGGATTTACATGTTTATGGATTATTGCACAGTTCAAAACATTTGGCTCTACAAGGGCATGGCTGGTCTGTATCATACAATCACTTACAATGTTTGGTACAGCATTTTCCTACCTTGCAAGTGTAGGAGTAAACACAAAAAACTTTGGAGGAAAACATAAACTGAAGGTACTTATGAGCCACGCTTGTGTATTTTGGAATGCTCCAACACTTTACAGTGCCATCTATCAAGGATTCTTTGTACAAGGTCATATAAAAGATACTGAGAATCAAAAGTATGGTGAATTTATGCTGTTCCTGGCTGTGATAGCTGTGATTATCAATTTGTTACTCATCATCCTACTTAAGGAAGTTCCAATAAATGAATCAACCCATGAAGAAAGTGAATTGAACGAAATTTTCAAAACTCTTCAAGACACAGTAGCTGATGACAAAGACGAAAACAAGATACACTTAAATGACCAGACTGCATTGATTCCTAATACAGGTCAAAAAGACACAACTATGTGTGCACTTGATCTGAATGGACTGCAAATGATGAAAACATTGCCATTTTATTACTTTTTTGTTATGCTTTTCATTTTAGCAGGAACGGGAGGAACAATTGTCAACAATATCTCCACAGTATTGAAATCTGCTCATAGAGAACAAGACGTAGCAGTTTTTACGATATGCATACCAATTTTCAGCACATTGGGGATACTTTTTATTGGATTTATTTCTAATCATATCTCTCTGAAATGGCCAGGTGTCCCTAGATCCTCAACTATGTTACCATCTGCAACATTAATGTGTATAAGTCTCATTGTAATGAGTTTATTCCAGGATGGATTTGCTGCATTGTTCAGCAGTGCAATCATCATGAGTTTTGCATATGCTGCATTTTATGTACAAATACAATGGGTCATTATTCACTTATTTGGTTCAAAATATATTGGACAGAATCTTGGTATTCTTTTGACAGCTCATGGACTTGGTGTATTTGGGCTTCAGCAGTTGTTTGCCTTTAGTTATAAACTCAACAGTCTACCAGGATCAAACGAATGTTATGGAGAAGAATGTTCAAAATGGACATTCATTTTATTAGCACTTTTATGTTTTTGCGCATTGTTTTCAAACATTTGCCTTGTCAAGATTGAAAGAGATGCCACATGGAAGCATTAGTGAGTAAACAAAACAATAAATGATAATTTATACTTTTAGGGAAAAATATCCCGTCCTGAGTGTTAATATATTTAAAACAAAGAGCAAAAGAAATTGCATTGAATAGAAAGCAGTCAGTAGTGTATCTCAATCTTTTCTACATGATTTTACAACCACCTGTAATAAGCCACCATCATACTTATACTTTGAAATAATTCATCTCATTTACCCCTATCACCCATAATTGTTTCATGTATATTCAATAAATTAATAAATATTGTTTAATCAATTTCCTCTTGCAACATTATGTGAAATGTCTCAGTACCCTTGACATGACGGACATTTTTGGATGTATGTATTAGTTAATCAATAAATACTGATTAATAAACAAGACACAGATTGAACAGCATCACACCCTATAAAAGAATATACAGTTTTTGGGATGGAAAGTCCTAAATGGCTGCCTTAACATTCACCCAGAATGACCAAAAACTAAGCAGTTCTAAACATTCATTCTATAAAGCATCCCTTAAAATGTCAGATCACTACATTATAAGTTATTGAATGATTTGAAGTGCAATAAAGGATATATTCTGCTCGAGAAATTCCGTATTGGAACGAGACGAAGTCCAGTGCCAATACAGAATATCGAGAGCAGAATTTATCCTGCATTGCACTTCAAATCATTCTATAACGTTTTTATCGTGTGATCCTCTGTAATGCTACTGGGAATGTCCCCTCCGTACCAATATTTTCTGCAATGGAGATGATCAATGGGGACAATACAGATTGGTACAGCACAAGGACTGACCAATTAGAAGGCTTCATTTTACAGATCATTCGATGTGTGGCTTTACAAGACTTTACAGATTAAGATTTCAGGACAAAAAATCTAAAATGACCATTCAACATTTATCCATAATGCCTGGAAGAGTGGAGACAAATTATGTAGGATGCCTGCCCAATAATCCGCCGGCCCATCCGGCAAACTGATTACAATATATCACGCAAGTATGCAATATAAAATCA